AAGTTACTTCTGCAACATTCTTATAGTAATTGTGGTTCAAAAGCTTTTGTGGAATACGTATATACATATATACATCCACTTTCATATATTAGATTTGGTTAAATCCTAGATTTTAACCAAAGAAATTGAACAAGGCCCTCTCGAAACGTCAGTTTCTTTTCACGAAAATAAAAGGGCGAACATATTGGAATTTGCAAAAGGCATCCTTTGTTTGGTAGTCATCCTATGATTCAGCAAACTATTGAGATCGATACTCATTAGATAGTAATGTTTCGATTAATGTAGGTAACTAGTTGGCAGATAACGCTTGCATGAACTTGAGTTATTACATTCCGTGACTAAACTTTTTCTGGTCACGCAACTACTATCGTGCTGCACTGAACATAAAAACGTAGCTAATTACAATCACCAGAATTGCATTGCTCCCACGAAAAAAAAAGCAAAAAAATGGCGAAATAAAAACAATTACGAAAGCTAATGTCAACATCTGCCGTGGAACTACTCACACCACACGCCTATTCGACAGCGAAAAAACATTATGTTCAATTTAGCTCGGAGCAAATGAAAATATATGCAATCAGTGCTGCCATTCCATCGTAATGCAAATGGTACAGCTTTTCCATTAGGGTTTGCATGGCAATTTTCTGACGCAAAGAGGCAAGAGCTGTTAAAATACAGAATATCAAATAAAGGGTTTTTAATTTATTTACCATCCTTTTCAACAAACAAGCTTTTTACAGGCGTGAAAATAACCTCAACTAGCAGTGATGTACTTCACTGCGGGACAAAACCAAGACAGCGCATCATTTTGGGACATATCGTAAATTAAATTGAATAATTTATTCTTTGTTTATATTTTCTGGACTTAATCACGAGCCATACTGGCTGACGTAGAAACATTTAATTATTATTTTATGATATCTACAATGTCTTTAAAGAAATTGTAATCAAATGCCTAAATTAATCTGACTAGCTTGTTATAAATTAAAGATATAAATACAAAGTTAAGAGGAGAGACAATAGATGTCACAACCAAGCCATAGCAAGCACTTTCTTCCAGACTCAGACAAAATATTCAAAAAAACACTTGGCAAATCACTACATCCGCAAAACTTTAAGATCACGTGATTTTCACGATTGGAATATTAAACATGCGATGCAATTCATTTTCCAGTATATTCACTTCCGTTCTAGCTGACAGAAAATGACCTTTCAAAAAACTGGAAGAGGAATTGTTACGTCTGAATGTTGTTACGTCTTTAGATTGAATGCAATTTAGACGCATTAGTATGTAAAAAGCACATTTAATGTTAAAATATTGAACAAATGTTGGTCGAATTTCTGACAATATTTTATTTAAATATTGTTAGAGCGATTTCTGGGAACATTCTTCTTGTCTTTCCTTACAGCTCTGAGTTGTCGCGATAAGGTAACTGGTTAATAGTTTCTGCAAAGGGTGTCTAGGTCATTCGGCTTGAATTTTCTAGTTTTTGTATATTTATTGTTATTGTTCTGCGGGAGCCTACTTATCATCGATTAATAATCCACGTGAGCTAGCTCTCACGCTTTTGCGTGTTGAACTCCGTTTCATGTTCGTTTTCTTATTTACCACCTCTTCAGTACGAAACACTTCAATACAAGACCTAAAATATAAGATATGATTAGATAGATAAATGTTTTAAGATTAAACTTTTCCGAGCTATTACCACGGCTTTTTTATACGTCGCAAGCCAAAGTGTTCAACATGATTTGTCTGCCCTCTGAGTACAGTGTCCCAAACATGGTCTGCATAAAACTTGCAATCTGAAAGTTGAAGGGCCTTTAAAATGAATGGTGAGTAAGCTACATGTCCGCTGCGTTAAATGTTCAGGCATACGAGATGCAAAGGGGGCTAAGGGTAGGGGTTCGGATGCGGAGGTGACAAAGGCAAGGGGAATGACAGTGACAAGGTGTAGGATAAAGGTAGAGGCGAAGCGAGAACAGAAGCCGAAGCACATTCTCTGATTTCATTATAGTGACTTCAGACGTTCGATCGGCTGAAACGCAATTATCCAATCGGGAGCATCGATACACATATTAAGTCGAAACGAAACTCCCAATTGGATACCCGCGTCCAGCTAATCAGAAATCACTACATTTGAAGTCACTACAAGTACTACTACTAATCTACTAATCAACACTACAAGTCACTACTACTAATTAGAAGCCACTACATTTAAATTGGAGAAATAACGGTGGTGCGGCGAAAGGACAAATGAAGCTGGGGCGACGAATGGAAGGAGGAAATGAGGAAGGAGGTGGGGAGAAAGGGAAATCAGAGAGCAGAGAATGAGATGGAGGGGAAGAAGGAGGAGGAGGGAGAGCACAGTCAAGGGAGGAAGCAGAGTAAGTGAATATTTAATGATTCTGAGTAAGTCAACTTTTTGATTATAGGGATTATGGTCGTTTGCCCCCTAAAACGTAGTACATGATATACCGTGGGAGAGACGGTGTTCCTTTTCGGTAGACTCGAGAGACATGCCGCCCACCTACACGTCAGAATCGGCCCGAGCACTAGACTCCCGACTGTTCTCCCAATGTGTTTGGTAGTGTAGTGCACATAAGTGTAAGTGTGTGTGTGAATAAGGAGCGGGGATAGGAGAAGGAAGAACAGGTAACAATCGCGCGCGGTCCGTATGAAGTTTGTTAGAGTTCAGCTTCGGCATTCGCCTGGTACGGATTGAAAAAAATTCCGATCAAAGCAGTCGGCTCAAGAAATCTCCTCTAGGCAGTAGATGCAATTGACCTCTCTATGTAGCAAGAATCGAAACTGCACCCCAGTGAAGAATCAAACTCTGTACCTCCCGGTGAATGACGTTGCAGAGATCAATTTATGGTGAGAGATCAATTTATATTAGCCAGTTAAAAATTGTGTTTCAGTACGTCAAGATTATGGTCCACAAACTCACCCCTAGCTGGACTGGCCACTGTTTAGGGCAATTGTTACCTTTCCATCTCTTTCGGCCCGCAGGGTTTGAGGCGCAGGCCACGAGCTTCGGCTACGGCTTCAGCGGCGGCCACGGGGGCGGAGGCGCCGGCGGCGGCGGCGGGGGCGGCTTCGGGGCGAGCTTCGGCGGCGGCCACGGGGGCGGCCACGGGGGCGGCGACGGCGACGACTACGGCTCCACCTCCGGCTTCGGGGGCGGCGCCGGCGGCGGAGAGAGCGCGTTCGGCGGCGGCGGCGGCGGTAAGCACGACGCTTCTTTTGTTTCGATATTGATAGATCGATAGTTTTATAGTTTCTGCATGTAAGTTTATACAACCTAGTGGCAGAACACTACAATTAACACATTATAGTTAGCAATATTGATACAATATCATTTTAAAAAATTTTAAGACAATAATAGTAGTAATAATAATAATATGATAATAAAGTGAACAATCAGCATTAACTCTACATTTTATAACTGTCCTGCACATATATTTTAAGTAGTAAATTCACTTTTTACATACACGTAACTTCACTACACTTGCACTTCACTTCTCTTTCTACTTCTCTATTGCATTACACTTCACAACACGTCACGACATTCCAATTTAACTACTGGTTTAAATATAATTATATATTTAATAAAGCAATGCATTTAATAGTAATTATCACAATACTAATAATAAAAATAACAATTATAATAAAATAATAACTATTTTAATAAGCCTAACTTACCAATTAATAAATTTTACAAATTTCCTTACTTAATACACTTTTAAAACTTTGTACACCTAGAGGAAAGGGTTCCATGGCTATCGTAGGCAACTTATTCCAGTCCGTCATTGTTCTATTTGTGAAGGAAAAGAACGTAATATATTGGAATATATTATTCTTATAATAAGTTTATTGAGTGCAAAAATAAGACTGAAATAAATATTTCATTGTTATGAAAGGAAATAAGTATCTGATTAAAACATTAACAAAAAGGAATTAGAGCGAGAAATATTAAAAAGAGTTATGAAAACAAATGACGAGTACCTAGGGAATAATACTAATAATACAGTAACAAATTAACAATGGCATAAAGCTAGCGATTGAGAATGAGTTGCGGAATTAAAAATAATTATTAAATTAAATTTGAAATTACACATTTCTGAGATAAATTATTGTTATTTGTTACAGTAAATGATCGAAGAAACTTTTGTTTTAGTTCTATAGGTAAAATTTAAAAACGCGACTAAAGGTAACAAAATGAGGTTTACAATTTTGTTGTTTTATGAATAGGCATAATATAAAACCAAAATCACCATATATATATTTATATATTCAATATTGTAGTTGTAGCAAGCCGCCCAAACAAAATTGCACTTTTGCACTTTTCACTACAGAGTGAGAAAACTTACATTTTTTCTCTTCCAACTCAGATCGAGAAACTTAGATAACGATTTACCGATATACTAAAAACGTAAACGATATACTGGAAACGAACGTAATTGAAAATAAAAATATAAACCTTAGTTACCTGTAGACGATAGCAAAACAAAAGCCGCTTTTTTCTCTTCCACCTTGCAATGAACTACTTTGTGTATCAGTGTGCCGATATTGCCGATAAAGATCAAGTTGTTGGTGAATGGAGCGTAGCGAAATTTGCGTGGTCAGACGGAAGAGGCTTGATGGCCCGAGTCTCACCACGTAAAATAAGGCAAATTCAATTCAATGATTGTTGTGCGTAGGCGGCGGCGAAACAAGTCACTTTTTTCTCTCTCACCTTGTATTGAAGTACTTTCCGAATCAATACGCCAATATTGCCGATAAAGATCAAGTTGTTGGAAACAAAAATTTAATCAATTGTCCTGTGTAGGCGGCGGCGGCGGAGGGTGGTTGTTGGAAACAAAAATTTAAACGATTGTCGTGTGTAGGAGGCGGCGCAGTAGGGTTGTTGGAAGCAATAATTTAGACGATTGTCGTGTGTAGCCGGCGGTGGCGGAGGCGAGTTGTTGGAAACAAAAATTTAAACAATTGTCGTGTGTAGGCAGCGGCGGCGGAGGCTGGTTGTTGGAAACAAAAATGTAAAGGATTGTCGCGTGTAGGCGGCGGCGGCGGAGGCGGCGGGTACGGCGGCTTCTCGGGCTTCGGCGGGTTCGGCGAGGAGAAGCCCGTGCACCACCACCACCACCACGACCACCACGTGGACCACCACGTGAAGCACAGCGGCGGCAAGGCGCTGGCGCTGAAGGGGCTGCTGGTGCCGCTGGCCGGCGTGGCGCTGCTGGGCGCCGCCGCCGCGCTCGTCTCCAACCCGGTGCTGCTGCAGCTGGGCGTCATCTCGGGGCGGCGCCGGCGCCGTCGCGCGCTGCGGGCAGGCGCTGAGGAAGACTCGGAGCGCGCCCTGCGCCAGCGCCTCGCCGACATCGCGCTGCTCGAGAAGTTCATGGCCGGGGTGAGCAATGTGTTTTTTTTTTTTGTTTTTTTTTTAAATGTTTTATTTTTTAATTTTTTTATTTTTAGTTTTTAATTTTTTAATTTTTTAATTTTTTAATTTTTTAATTTTTTGTTTTTAATTTCTTATTTTTTAATTTTTTTTATTTTTTTAATTTATTTTTTTGGATTGAATAATACGAAGATCAGGTTAAAACACTCTCTCACACACATTTCTCAAGGTTGCTTAAATCTACTTATAACAATATTATTAAATCTAACAATAAACTTACTACACGAAAAAAAGGAATAGTTGCAGTATAACAAATCCATGAAATTGTAACTAGTTTCCTTGTTACAGTACCATGGATCTGGTATACTGCAACTGTTATTTTTTCCGTGTTAAAATACAACTTACAACAATCTTAAAATACAACTTGCACTACTATAAGGGTGGTAGAGGTATCTTTATAGAGGTATCTTTATATAACAACTACATTACGTCGAGATCTGAAAATTTATTGGGGAATATATAAAAATGATGCAAGTTCAGAGGAACATATATGTGCACCTTAGTTTCGAAATTTATTTCGCATGGCATTGTTATTTTCTGACGAAGTCTTGATTTGCTAACCTCGACGTTGCCTATTGTAGCCACCAGTGTCGATCGCGTATCCAGTAGATAACAAGTTAGTCGTTTGTGAACAAAAAATCTTACTCTTGTCTGGAGAGGATACACAGCGGCGCGTGAGCGAGATTCACACACTTGTGCGTTCGCTGCTCGAGAAGTTCATAGCAACAATTTTTGCATGCCCTCTTCAGTCCACAAGTCGTCTTTTAAATTTATTTTATTTTGGATTGAATAGTACAAAGATCAGGGTTAAAACACTCTACATTTCTCAAGGCTGCTTAAATCTAATTATTATTAATTTACAATAAACTTACTATACGAAAAAAAAGAACAGTTGCAGTAAACAAGATCCATGATGATGTAACAAGTTCTCTTGTTACAGTATCATGCATCTGGAATACTGCAACTGTTCTTTTTACGTCTTAAAATACAACTTAAAAGAATCTTAAAATACAACTTACACTACTACAAGGGTGGTAGAGGTGTCTTTATAATATAGTCGTTAAGTAATACGCGTATTGGGCGCATTGCAAGTTTGTTTGTTCGTTGGCAGCACGGCATGTAGTCTCCGTAAGCCAGCACGTCGAAACGCGGCAAAAACAGCAGAAAACGTGAATAACATAAAGAGAACGTTTATTTTCGTCCAGACAAGAAGAACCATGACATTCTCTTCAATACTCAATGATTCTTACGGCAAGGTGTTACTCTTGTTAATTGTGTGTCGTCTTTTCAGAATCTTCTCGTCTGACGAAAACACAGAAAGACGATGCACAGAACTTCTCTCGCCGCAGTTTCTGCAAATGCTCTCGCAATCATCTAAGCAAAAAAATTTTAGCCTCAACAAAAGGAATAACAAATAGCTCCAACTAATTCCAAAAAGTCTAATGAACAAAATGGGGAAAATGTTAAAAAGTTCTGATTCCTGTTACCCCAAGCAGAAACCAACCGTTTCTTCGCAAGCGCCTCGAGAAGGCCACGTGACCTCTAATCCGCGTCGGCCCCGGCGCGTGAAATGGCGGAGAGGTGGAGCGGGGGAAGGGGGAGGGGGTGGAAACGCAAGTGGGAACAGAACAGCTGAAGAGCGTGGTTTTAGGCGGCACCGCATTGCGGCATGCATTTGCTGTCGCTGTTAAGGTCGCGGTGCCGCACTGCAGGTGTCATTTACACGCTCGTTCAGAGGTGTGGGTGGAGTTGGTGTGATCACAGCCCCTCACACACACACACACACACACACACACACACACACACACACACACACACACACACTTTAACGTTACACGTTATAGTGTAAACTGTGTTATAAACTTTTTATTAAAATTGAAAGATTTGTTATGTGTTAAAAATTATTACTTATCCTTATGTACTATTGAATAAACTGGGTATGTCCGTTCGTTTCTCACGGTTAGACTTCTTCCTGTCGACCAATCGAAACATTGAAGTGTCATTCGACACGTCTCGATCTCCTGGTGGGGAACTGATAATTTCTTTGCGGATCCGGCCAGAATATTCTAAGAAATTTCTAAAAACGTGTTTTTGCCTGTTTAACTCTGCGATCTTATTGGGTAGACCACGAATTAAACCACCGCCATTTAGGTAATCTATCTAGGGAGTGTTAATTAAACCAACGCCATCTAGATAGATGTATTTAGGTGGGGTTGATTAAACCCAAGTACCTAAACGTAATTCTCACTTCACGACACCATAATTTTCCTCCATGAGGATGGCCATTGTTGCTATCTCTACGTGCAACACTAAGTGAATCGCGCGGCAGATCTGTCAATTTTTCGGTGCTGCGAAATCTATAAGATAATATAATCTATATATCTATGGAACGGTATGTTGTAGCATAGAAGCTTGCAAAATTACAAATTTTCTTTGATAAGCTGCGTGATAATACACAGAAAGACAGTACACCTCAAAATAAATCTTCAAAGATCGTTCGGATTAGGTTTAAAGTTTAAAGTATAATTTCGTTTATAACTTGATAAGTAGAAAATTTTAACAACTGAAAATATTTTTTGAAAAGTTTAAAGCACCGGCGATGCCACTCAGTATTACTCGATTGTGAAATCGAGAGTTTTGATACGTCGAGTATGAATTTTATACAAGCAATCCAACTGAATTGAGAGCCATTCGGGATGGAATGTGCAGTTCACTGTGTTCTACTGGAGTGAGTGATTAGTGATTCCGGACACGTCAACTGCCAAGGTCATTTTGTAAGTGTGGTGCATGTTTTGCATAACGCGGGAGGTGTACCCCACCAGCGTGGCACCGTCCCAGCAAGGACATCCTCTAAGCTCGCGACATGTGTGGTAAAGTAGCGCATGTAAGTGTAAATGTGGTTAAGTACCCTAATTGGTGAGGTTAGCACAAGGAAGGGGACGACAAGATTGTGCGCGGTCCGTGGCCCGTTTGTTAGGGTACTGCTCCGGCATGCATCTGGTGTAGATCGGAGAAACCACGGAAAACTGCCGATCGGTACAGCCGGCCACTGGAATTCTCCAGACAGCAGCTCAACTCGATCTAGGTTGTTTCGATAACGAGTGAAACCCTAGGGCCTGCCGCAGTGACATCAGTCGATGCCCTGAGCCACCGTTGCTCGCGTGTTCTGGCGGCGTGGGCGGTGGGTGCGGGGGGGAGGGGGTGACAATGGCCTGCGCGAGCTCGCGATGAGCTCTGCGCTTGGCGGCGCGGCGGCGGAGGGGGAGGGGGAGCGGCGGGCGGCAGGTGCTCTGTTGCTGCTCCGCGGCCTGTACGCGTGCCCCCCCGCCCCGCCCCCTCCAAGAAGAACGACTTTCGCTGTCGTGCGAGCGTTGCGTCTCCGGCGAAAGTGTTTCTCGTGTGGACGGATGAGGTTCTTGAGTTCGGTCCCGGAATTCAACACAATCGATTTCAATTAACCAACCTCCCTGTATAAAATCAGCTTTGAAGCGACAACTCATAAAGTGTTAGGATCGATCGAGTGAATTACTTCTTCTACCAGAGGGGCTTGTACAGATGAAGCGAGGTCAGAGCAACGACTCCCGTTAACCCGTATCTCAATTTACCAGCATGATGATGACGCCAGACGCCAGATGATGACGCCAGCATGATGATGACATAGCTCTGCAATTTGTATTCATGAGACTGAGTGCTCCCTGTTACCACACACCAATTCTAAGGTTAAAATATTCCAGGATGCCACGGAAAATGAACTTCGGACCACCGGGTCTGGACCTCGAGATCGCAGCTAGCCATACTACACTGGCCCTCAGAGGTGGTCCCTCTGTATATCATACTCTAAGGAAATATGACGTTTGAGATCCATTTAAAAGAAGCTAACAGCACAAAATTCTGTACGTTTGCTACTGCTCGACAGGGAATTATTACAGCCCTCCATCAAACAGGTTTAAGATAAAGAAACATAATCTCTCTGATTGTGACATAAGGGTAACAGCAGGCTCATATGCAGTCCGCAGCAACCGTTACACTACAACACACACTAACGGCGTACATAACAAGGGAATGTTACGTCCGTGGCCCTTAAAACGAGATTTTTCTAACCCAAACAGTGTCGCTATTACGCTCGTGAACAACTTTCACATATTGGACTTGTGTATCATAAATAATTATTTTTTTTATTTCTAAGGGGGTTGAATAATATTCATCACCCTTTTCAAGGGAGAATGCAACATTGTTTACTAACTTCCTATTAGATTTTTTTTATAACTTGAATCTTGTGCTTTTCAGTTGTATCGCTGTTGTTTAAATATGTGTCGTTGATTTAGAAAAGTCTCCGTTGATCCTCCTCCACACATGGTCTGTGTTTTCGAATTTGACGCTACATGGGCGGCCAATGCTGCTAGCCTTTTTGGCTCCCACATCCTCCTACACGGCAGCACTCTCAGTCATTTTATCCGTCACGTGCATCGTTTGGTGGGTGAGCAAATATGGAAACTGGAAATGTTGGGGGATTTAATTTTTTCTGGCCAGCGTTCTTTTACATGTCAAAAGCGTGATGATTTTCCTCCCTTCAAAAGTCACTTATTGCATCCGTATTTGAACTTTATGAACCAGCTGTATTTCCTCCTCCCCCCTGCAATCTAATATATTAACTCCACTACCATTTGTATCAGCTGTCTCTAATAAAATACCTTTTTTCCACTTTAGATTCCCACAATTCGCTTCCCATCCCACGTTCGTTTTCTTTATTATCCACAAATCCAATATTTTGTACAATCATCCCATAGATTTACTTTATATTCTTCAAAAGCCACATTTTATATACACTTTACAGTCTGTATCGTATTAATATTTCAACGTTTCAAATAATGATTTGCAAAATTACGGAATTTATTACAAAACTATTTCAATTTTCAACCATGATGCTCAGATTCATGAAATCCCTCAAAGATCCTCAACAGAAGAACATCACTGTGTACATCCCAAACACGCCTTGTGCTCGCCGGACCATGTGCAAACGCGTTTTCTTACCCGAAGCATCCCGCGTGTCGTCCCCATAAGAAACGTATTCCCTTCACACTCTCTACATCGAAACAATTGTGAATAGCAGGCAACAGCAGCTCATGGAAAGGCTATCATCACTCAAATTTATGTTCCTTTTTTCAGCGAAACAAAGAAGATTCTTGAGAAATCTTTGGAAAACAATGGCGAGAACGCACCTTATATTACGTTGCAAATTGCAAAATTCTTAAAAAAGGTACTAACAAATATTCATTGAATATATGGTATTAAATACCTAAAAATACAAAGAAAGTAATATTAGTACCCAACAGATTTAGGTGATAAGAACCTACATGTCTTACTAAGCTTCTGAAGAGACATCAGTTTCGTGGTAACGGGCAATATCAAGCGGATTATTCTGAAACGTCCACTTCTGGGCCTGGCTGGCTCTTCGTAGTTGAAATCCAGTAAGACAAGATTTTCACTTTCAAAACAATAGTTTTCACAGAGCAGAAAGTTTGCACGCATCCAGCATAATATATAAAATTCATTTTGTAAAGAGAGGAGTTATTTTTAACCCATTAACGCCTTGCTTGTACAATTTGTTTGCGATGTCTATTTCTGTTTAAAAAAATCAAATTCGCAAATTAGTGGAAAATAAGCAAATTTAAGTTGAACAGAATTGTGCGGGCTCCAATGCAAACGCTGGACATCAGGAAACTTAACCTGTAGGTTAAAATTAATTTTCATGAACAGATTTCCTTCCGTTTGCTTTCGAACGCGAGTAAAACGAGCTTGCCGTGAACCGGCTGCATTTAGCTCAGAGACAGCATTGCTACTATCTCTGCAGCAACTCTGGCCGGAAGGTCGTCGAGTTTGAGTTCAGACATTTGCGAATTTTCGACACTAGCTATGTAACTATTTCAGGTTCAGCCGCTGTCTGAAGGTGAATTCTAACGGCCAGCTCTGATCGGTATTTTTCCGTGCTTTTTCTCTTCAAAATCAGGGGAATGTCGGAGCAGAATCCTAACAAACGGCCGACGGTGGCAGGATTTTCGACACTAGTTTGTCAGCTAGGTCGAATCCAGTCGCTGTCTGGAGGAGAACTCTAGAGACCGGCTGCTCTGATCGGTAGTTTTCCGTCGTTTCTCCCATCAACACCAGGCGAATGCCGAATGCGACTCTTTCCCACCTCTTCCTTCTCCTATCCTCTCCCCTTACTAGCCGACGGTAGGTCGGCGCCGGATCTCGCCATACAGCGATGGAAAGATCACCGCCACCTCCCGAGCAAAAGCATGCACTACACTTACGGGACTAATGACCCTGTTAGTTGACGTGCCCGGAATCACTAAAACTAACAAACAGAAATCTAACAAACAGAAATCTAACAAACAGAAATCTAACAAACAGAAAACGGGCTGCGGACAATCTTTCCTTCCTCTTCCTTGCCCTATCATCTCTTCCTACTTACACACATACATGATTACACTATACTACACATGACGGGAGACCAGTAGGGAACTTAGAGCTTATCCCGGTCTCGGCTGGGGAGTTGCCCCGCAAAGGAAGATACCTGGAGAGGGAAAACCCACAGCCGACGTCTATCTCACCATCCAGCGGGGCCGTAACACTGCCACATCAAGGGATATAAAAATTTACTATAGTATCGAGACTAAAGACTAAAGCAGTTGACGAGCCCCGAAACATCAATTAACCAATCCCTCCACTTTAAACGTGTGTGCAGGCGACGCAGCAGCAGGTGGGCGGGCAGGAGAAGCAGCTCCTGGCCAACTTCCTGTCGTGCTCGGGGCTGGCTGGCGCGGGGGGCGCGGGGGCCGCCGCCTCCGGGGCACGGGGCACCCCGGTCCCCTCCGCCCGCTGCCTGGAAAGAGTCACGTGCGAGCTGCATCACCCGGCTGCGGAGGTCACCCAGCTGGAGAAGCACGTCATGCAGATGTGAGTACTCACCAGCGCTGCTCGCGAGTTACGCGGAGCAACAGAAGAAAAAAAATATATTGTTTTTATGTTGTCGGCTTTCGAAACTTGTCTCGTCATAGACTTGTAGAACATTTTCAATGTGTCGCTGCTTAAACCCCACATATTGGTTTATACTCCCGTTTTCATCACCACTTTAACCCTACATATTGGTTTCTACTCTCGTTTTCATCACCACTTTAACCCTACATATTGGTTTCTACTCCCGTTTTCATCACCACTTTAACCCTACATATTGGTTTCTACTCCCGTTTTCATCACCACGAACCGACGCAACTCCATTCACTCCAGTGAGCTATATATTCTTAAAAAGAAAACAGCATACGACATTTACATAGGTTACAGAATAAATGTTCCAAACTTTTATGGTGTGTAGGCCGCAGATAATAACGTTTTGGCATTAATCATGGGGTGGGATATTTCATGCAACGAAAGAAGTCTGACATTAACCCTGCTTTGTAGGCCATCCATCATGCATTGGGGTTTGCCACGTCACTTTCTGAAGCATTCGAAAATATTTTGTGTACCAGGACATTTTCGAAAAAAGCAAATAATTTCCATTTGATTTTTGTGGTCGAATGGAGCAAAATAAACTTCTAAATATGGTATGGGTCAATTTTCATTTAAAACTCTGAATTTGCGAACGTTGTAAAAGTTCAAATATTTTCCATTATCTCATACAACTACAGTAATAGAGCTAGATAATTCATTCCTTTGTAAAAAATTTCTTCAAAATTAGACCTTTTTTATTGCCGTATTTATTTTTTAAAGTATGAGTACTTTTCGCGTATATTTGAGTGAAATTCTGTCAATTACAAAAATAAAACAAGATTATGTTAACTGCTCCAACTTTTCTTTATACCTCTTTAACGCGCTTATTGCTCTAAATCAAATGACATTTTGGTTAAATTTCTAATATTTTCCAAATATACACAACTATATTTATTGAAATCTCTCTCACGTCGTTAATTACATGCATATTTATAATTTAATAGATTTGTATCCCAAATGTGTTAAATGTTCTCTTATGAAGTTTCTAGAAATCTCAAAAGTTTTCTAAGTTAAAAGTTCTCAAAATTTCTTATTTTCAAAAAACCATAAATATTTTTTCAAAAATTGCTGCAAATTCCTCTCCGAAAATGTCTATATAAAAATAAACTTACTTGTACGATACTCTCAGTGCATCGTTTCAATTAAACTATTAGTAGACGGAAAAGCGAAAATGTGTACGTATTTTTATAGAAAACTAAATGGATAGGACAGAACTATAATGTTAACCGAGTCAATTTGTCAATATTTTATATGATAAATAATCGAGTACTGAATAAGGACTTATTAAGGAATAAGTACAACATTTTATCCGCCTTATAAAACTTTCAATAAACTGTATTTTTCGTTTAAATTTGACTATTCGTTCTCCGAAAAGTGAAAGATTAATGTTGATATAATAAATAGGGCGTCATGGATTATTAAAACGTTTGTATTAACACTAGTATTCTAATGACTCTTTTTATGAAACTGATGTCAGTGTATTAGTATTATAAACCCAAAGGGGATAAGAGACTTTTTCTCTCCATATGACTATTTCTTTTTCCATTGGAAATTTACCAAAAAAGAAGAAAAGTGTTCTTCAAATTCATGGGAGTGCTTTATGCAATTTGGTTGTTTTCTGTTTGCAGAGTCACATCCGAGATCCTTGAAAATGAATACATCCCTGACGAAGTAAAGAGACGGGTGAAGACAGCTGCAAAAATTGGACTGGAATCCGAATCTTGTGAAGAATTCCATTGTACAGACCTTGAACGTTAAACAATTTTGGTCGAATGATCAAAATCCTCCATTAAATCAAATCAGAGCTGTACGTGACTATGATCTGATCACGTACTGTAAAACCAGTAGTTAAAATCTTATGGAGAGTTTCAATGTTCGATGCCTGATATTCACAGTGTTCGAATATTTTCATAATTCTATTTTCAAATTTGAATTTTCACATCATCATTTACAAGACATTTGAATTTTGTTTTCTTTCTGAACCCTAGTGTCCTTAGTAATCTTACTTTTGTCGCCATTAATTACTTCAAAAATCATACTACATCAGAAAAGGATCCAGAGTGATTGCAGCTTAAGTCGATATTTTGCAAATAAATGGTAATAATTGAATGAATTATGTTAAATTATGTTTAAAAAATAGATTAAAAATGTTGTTTGTTACAAAATACATATCTTTGTAATAATTCTTGTAGTTTTTAATACATCAGAATTTAAAGACATTTGGTGTAATTATTCACGTTCGTCATAAGAAAAAAGTATGGACAAATAACATCCTTCCTGTGTCTTTGGATCGAATACTGTCAATCGATGTGATCATAACATATGGTACATAAGAACTCACACAAGGATAAGTACTTCCATTTCCAATCCTGACAATATTTTCCAGCCTCTTCAGTACCTCTTGATGTATTTCAGTTTCTGACAGTATTTCAGTTACTGGCACTATTGCCCCAGTTTTATGTTTTAGTGATCTAATTTTCATAGAAGGCTATAATGTCCTCGTGTTTTCCTCCAAACAAACATTTTCATACGTAAAGACAAACAAGAGAAAAAAATCTGAAGAAAAACTGATTGCCAGCTTGAATCATTTTAACAAAATATCCTAAATAGGTAATACATTTTTGAGTTGAAAATAAAAAAAAATATATCTACTTTGATTTGTTTGGTTGGGGTGGGGACGCCTTTGGACTACAGTCCACTGCCCCTCCCCCAAATAGCCATCGGTGGCGGTAATAATTGTGCATGTGAAGGGGCCAAGCGCTTCTTGGCAGCGCTTCCGAATGGCTCCGCGAGAAGAGGCCATTAGGCTCTTGGATTGATTGATTAATTGAGAGATTCGTGTTTCCGGTGACGTCAACTGCAATGGTCATTAATCACATTATGGAGCTATTAAAATTGGTCATTGACCGTTGTGTGCGACGAAAGGACGCCTCTCCCATTTTCATGGAAGCTGCCAATCAAAATGTGAAAACGGGACGAGTCAGATCGCTGAGTTGCTACTGACGACCTGGAAACATAATTTTGAGCATCATGCAGCGAATCTTCCTTCCCGCCGCTCACATTTCTGCATTTGTTGCGCGCGCGTTCTGTTCTGCAGTGTGACAAGTGTTGAGGCAACACCACCGAGACAATCTAGGTGGTGTTGGTTGAGGTTAGTCGTTCCAGAATAAACTGTTGCTTCATACGATGTGAATATAAGATTTGGTTACTTTCATAAGTACGTTTTTCAAGTGTTTAGTTTCGTGTCCCGGGAACACGTGCTCAATGGTATGCGATCTGGCAACGTCGCTTCTTTCCGCTTGCAACTGTCAATCGCCAACGTATTTTAATTGGGTCACAGTGTAGTGAATTTTAATATCCGAGGAGTAGAGGTGTTCCCGATGAATGATGAGATCCGGCGCCGAACTGCACGTTGGCTTGCGAGGGGTTTCTCATCCGGGTATCTCCCCCACAGGGGCACAGCCCCAATCGGGCCACCCTGTAAACTCCCAAGTGGTTTCCCGATATGTATGGTCGCGTCGGCACGTAAGTGTAAATGTATATGTAAGGGAAGAGGAAGGAACGATCCCGTGCGATTCGCGATCCGTACGTAGAAAACTCTGCTCCGGCATTCGTCTGGTGTTGATCGAAGAGTAACGGAATGCTACTGATCAGAGCAATTGAGGTCCTGGGAACGAAAATTAGATTAGATTAGATTTATTAATAATTCTGCAATTAAGTGTGAGAACTTGGTGGCAGAATACACTAACCTTAACATTACAGAACTTAACAACTATACAAACTCTACAAACGTTACAAATCTCATGACACATTTCACCGTGCAATCTTTTCATAAACTCCACTTCACCACACTTCAACCGCACTGGCGATACTGCGAGCTGTAATGTGTTTCTTACTCACTCGTTTCTCTCAGTTGCACAACGTCACTGCACTTCACGCCACTGCACTGCACATAATAATAATAATAATAATAATAATAATAATAATAATAATAATAATAATAATAATAATAATAATAATAATAATAATAAATAATAATAATAATAATAAATAATAATAATAATAATGCTAATAATGATAATAACATTAATAATAACAACAATAATAATACTTAATTACAAAGAGACATAGGTAATTGCACTGAATTTTATTAAAATATTTATAACATATCCACATTCAAGGAAACTAGTTTATTTTTAAATTTGCTCAGGCTTTGAGGAAAGGGATCGAAGATTGTCACAGGCAAACTGTTCCAGTCCCTAATAGTGCGATTCGCGAAATGAATATTTCCCAACGTCCGTTTTCTGAATTCTTGTCTGAATTTGTGCTTGTGATCCGCTCTGCCGAAATATGTAGGTTTCCCTAATCGACTTTGAATTCTTTCCACGCTCGAAGGCCTGTGTACGCTTTATACATTGCATAGAGACGTGACTTAATCTCTCCTTTCGAGTGACTCCCATACCCCTTTATTCTTGCTACCCCTGAAAGTAAAATTTTGAATGCTCTACGCTGGACTTTTTCTAGATTTCTTTGTTGCAAAATTCTGTATGGGTCCCAACAAAATGCTTCATGTTATTAGGAATTTTCTTTGGGTGGAGGAGATGGCTAATTGTAACAAGACACGATCCGTGGAACGCTGCACTCATGAACACGACAGGTTGAGAGTTGAAACACAGTATGGTAACTTCCCTGCAATCCGCGCCCCACTTCATGTTTGGACCGCCATGTTGAAACCGAGTAAACTACCGGCCCAACGTCACTTAGGACACCTGTACCTTAGGTGGCATTGGCTGGCAGCCGCTTCTCATAATATAGCGTGAGGTTCTTGCAGTTTTTAGTTTGAGAATTTTGTATAACCCGTTGCTCGTTTTTAGGTTTGATTGTGTATATTACATTTAAAAGTGTTTTAGTGTTTACAGTAAGTGTACGTCATTTGTTTCATTACAGACGTAAAATACAGTAAGTTTCAATTTTTTACAAAATATTTTGGAAGATTTTTCTTAAAACTTTAACAGTAAAGAAAGTGACAGGAAGGAGAGTGTTCTGAATTTAGAGAATGTATAAGCACCATGATTACTTGGCTTCGAGGCGGCCGGAACTAACTCGAGGTCCCGAAGATCAAATGAATCACCGTCAAGTTACCTTACTGACTTCAATAAAACCTGATTTACACATCATTGATAAAATAAATATTGTTTTCCCTTTTGATGTTGAGAATAGTCTCTAATTGTATGTCACGGAAAATATTTCACTTGAAATTTAAACTTATATCAATTTTAATTATTTTATCGACCAATGCGTTTTGAAGTAACTCTTTGAAACAATACTCATATAAATATACTTTTTTTCATACTGTATGAAATAAGTCATATTTCATACAGCTTTACCCAAATCGTCTAATGTACGAATTAATCAACCATTCCTAACATTACTCTTATTTTGGTCTTTAGCTGTAACATTGTCACAGTTCAAAGGCTGAAGTCTCCCCTCTCTCTCCTCTGCTCAACTGCAGAAGGGATAGTATAGTGAAACTTGAACCAACGGTCACCTCTACTTACGACATTTTTTCTTGGAACCGTTTCATTTTTCCATTAAACATATAAATATTACCTCTTTTCAGCGCCCAGCTGACTGACTGAGTTGCCAGCGATAGGCACTTTCCCTAGATTGAACTTAATTAAGCAGTCGCTTCAAGCGACTGTGTTATAACAAGAAACGGTAAAGGGGCGGAGAATCCGGTCGATTAATATCGTTCTACGACAGGCTGCATTATCAGATTACTTTCAACAAGGACATCGAGAGTCGCTTATCTCGCAGGGGATTACGTTCAGTTTCAGGCAACAACAGATGAACAACAGCCGTGAAAATGGGAGTTCTATTGGCGTTGCAGCTCCCTATTGGTCTGCCTTTCCTCTCCCTTTTCTCGTGTGTGACCTTGAGACGCCATGTTGAAAAAAATCGAAGTAGAGTATATTCTAGCTCTAGACGGAACTCAGCGCATTCAGGCTTTTAGTAGGCGGACCGAGAGGCGGTGAAGCTGACTAAGTGCTGAGACGACGCTAATTTGCGGTGATACGCAAACGACAGAGATGGTGACTGCGCCAATAGTCCCGCTGTCGTTGCTTTTAAGTTTTTGCATTGTCGATACTGCACCACCAAATTAGTTTAAACTATAATTAGAGAACAGTAGTTTCAGACATTTATTTCATTTAAAATAGGTAGGCAAAAGAGCATTTATTTTTACTAAAATGGGCATGAAAAAGGCATTTATTCGGCCAAAAGTAGGGGAGGTACAAAAGGCATTTAAACAATGAAAAATCGCATTTAAAACGAATTAATGTAAAAAAACAATTAAAATTATTTCCATCGTTATTCCAATACTATATTGTCGCTAGCACTTACGTGTTAGGAAACGATATTGTCGTTGTAATCTTGATTCCACACGACCTCCTGGTGGGATGACTAGGAATATGTTTTACTCGCTACGCTGACTCTTCGAATGCTATTATGGACTTCCTATTGAATCTTGAAATGGCATCAGTGAAATCAGAATTATATATTTGTCGTTCTTCGCACCTGTCAAAACGTCAGAAGTCAGAAGGGTATATCATATGCTGACAGCTCTGTCCTTAAAAGGGATGCGAGGCCATCCTCAAAATTAGGATGGGATTCTTCATGAGCGAACGAAACCTGACAGTTACAATGAAAAAAACAAAATCAAAAATCTTGACTGGTATAATACTTTTTATTTAGATTTTTAACAATACCTCCTTTGGAGCCTCCGTTTTCACAAAAAAACCAAAGGATGTTTCCAAATTGACCGAGATCGGGAGAAAAATAAAATAATGACGAAAAAGGAAAAATAACAAAACTAGGGGGGGAAGCAAAAAGAAAATCTACTAAAACAATTCCAGACATACAATTAAGTGATTCCTATTGTTAAAAGTTAAAAAATAGTATCAATAATACAAATCCGCCTTTTTCCGGCGCACAATTACATAACTTACAATATTTTAACAATACATAACATTTTTAAGCAAGTCGAGATCTTTTTATACATTTTCGTAATCTGTCATGCAGAGTGATTTGTACTACTA